ATTATCTTAAATAAAAATTTTAGATGCCGATACAGCATTCATATTGGCGAGTATAAAAAAATTTGCGAATAATTCGCCAAAAACTTCATTCACTTCATTTTCTTTATCTGATTTTATTATTAAATTATGTCGTACTTTACATTCACCACGCAATACCGTCGTTGTGTCGTATTTAATAAGATGTTTCTTTGTTTTCTGTCGCCCAAGATAAAAGTTGACGAACTCCAGAAGAAACAAGAAACATGATTGTCGATAAAACAGTACACGAAAAGACATAAAGGCATAAAGCAAGAAACAGAAAACAAAGAGCACATTGTAGATTAGTGACTGTTGTTATTCTAATCTATCATGTAAAATAGAAAAATTTATTTATATGTTTTGTGAATTTGCATGTTTATGTAATATCTTAATTTTATAAATATTGTTATTTTATAAATATTAGACATCGCATTCTGTTTGACCATGTTGCGATTGACCACAGCCATTCACAGCGGCCGGTGCCTAGAGGTTTTCCTCTGTTCAAACTTTATGAGTGGCTAGTGATCAATTGCAACGTCCAGTAGGTCCTATCCTACACTTCACTATCACATTTATATTTTTAAATTAGAAGTGTATAAAATGTTGATAAAATGAGTATCTAAAAATATATTTCACATATATATTAAATAATAAATTACATTATTAAGATTAAAAAATACAGCCAGAAGTTATTCAAATATCCATTATGCAAGCAAAATTTTGTCCGTATGCATCATAGAGCAAATGACCAACAAACTTTGCGCGTGACATTCACTCATAGTAATATGCATAATGAAAATGTTCCGTGAAAAAAACTCAAGCAAATCTCGTACAAGATTTATATGTATAATACATACAAAATTTGCACGTAAGGAATATTATCTAGGTATGTGTTTAAAAGTTTGATTTTCTTTTTTTTGTAATATATATCTAAGTGTCGGTCCACAATAGGTGATTTAAACTTTCTGACTATGATTGGACAATTTCTTACGCCTTAAAGATTAAATATCTATTGTGGGCCGAGATTTACAGAGAAAGAGAGAGAGAAAGAGAGAGAGACTTATCAATATTACCAGTATTTTATATTTTTTTATTTCATTATTTTATTTTATTTTATATAATCTTCATCAATATCAATTTGTTATAATATGCAATTGAACGCTGCAATTGCTAGTATTGAAACTTATATCTAAATTTGGATAAATAATTGGGCATCAGACTCGATAGATGGCATTGAGCGTTATATATTCTTACCTTCCATTCTATCTAATCCTGTTTGTTTTCAACATGTTCAGTGAGCAGACGCCATTTTTCTGATCGATTTTCAAGTACGCTTAGTAAATACAACATATTGTAAGCTTGAGGCGGGATTTACACTTTATTATGAAAATGGAGAATTTTTATCATTTTGTATCATGTAAAACTTTTACAACTATTCTCGACATACTAAAATGTTCTTTAAATATAATATTATTATATAATGGAATTATTCTTTTATATAATAATTTTCATTTTTTTAATATAGGACGTTTTTAGTATATGACGTCTTGCATTAAAATTATTTGGTAATTTATCTTGTAATTCTTCGACAAAATATCTTATTATATTTTTCTTCATAATATTATCATTTAGCAAAGCCAAAAGTATGAAATTATTAGCAGCCATTATTAAATTATAAAAGAGAACTGTGATTTCTGTAAATACGAATGGCATGACACAATAATGCGGTATATCATTTTTAAATAAAGGTTGTGTTTTTGTGTACATACATATTGTGTATGCCAATAAATGTTTAGATCGTTCAGGAAACTGTTCATTTTACTTTAACTGATCATTTTATGTTCAAAGAGCGTTCAATGATCAGTTGTCCAACTGTTGTGTTCGCAGCCAATAAGCAGCTATATTGAATTTCGCATAAAAGCTCAAAGCGTAATTGGTTGATTGTCTCCCACCTTTGATCTGCGCATCCATCGGAATAATTCATCTTTCTTCTTACACAATTACTGCGTTTTATAAATCAGAGACATCTGTTTATTCTTTCACCTCGAAAATCGTTCGGCAATTCACATTCTTTCTGCTAGATGTCATTTCATCTGCGTTCGGTATTAACATTTTTAGAGCGAATCAAATTCCTCGATTTACTTCGGATTCAAAAACTGAGCTCGCAGAGATAATTTAATTTTACGCGTTTAAATTAAAATTTATAACTTATAGCAACTGTTTTTCAAGATAGAATAACATTTGTGTAGAGAGTGTCATTTAAAAGAAAAGCAATCAATGTAAACAGTTATCAGAGTTATCAGTTATCATGGCTGCATTCACAAGCAATGTCTATGAAATAATAGAAATTGATAGTGAACAATATTTATATAACAAGAAAGGTAAGTTTTTAATTCATTTTTCCTTGATAAAAAAAACTATAAAAAGAATAATAAAAATTATTAAATAAAAAAAACCATTAAATAATAAAAATCATTTCATCCACTTTTGTATTTTTTTATATTTTATTAAAAAATAAATATCCAATTTTAATTTTTTTAGTCTGAATCTTGTAATCTTGTAATCTTTAATGTCAAAAAACCAGAAAAATATATGGTTGATGGTACGTTAAACATTCACATAAAACCTTGTAATTTTATAACCTTAAATAACAGTTTTATAGTAACTCTGACAGCTCTGTGCTCTGTATCGTTCGAAATTAATATCGGATGTGCTCGGATTGCTCAAAGATCACGTGATTCAAGCTCGCCATCTGCTAGCTCGTATCTCAGATTTATAATGCCGAACGCAGTAAATGAACAAACCTATGAACCATCTTGCGCAAATGCTGTCCCTTTTATAATGTTTTTCACTGGGCAAAACTAAATGCGCACTGAAAACTCGTCGGATTCAAGTGGCACTGCCCGAGTGTATTGAAAGTGCAAGTTTCTTGCACTCCCAGCTAAGCTCCCATGTCTGTCGCTCTCAGGCTGTCCTATGGCGCGGAAATCCATAACGGAACGGAACGCGCAAACCAATCACAGCGAAAGAACCAAAAGAAAACTCGTTCATTCTGTTCGGGCCAGCCTCAGTGCAGTTTGTGGCGTATATTTTAATAAAAATTATTTAGATTAAAATTAATTATGGAAGCATTTACTATTGATTTTAAAATCAATAATGACATATTGCACCTAATACTTGATCCGATCGAAATAGAGTTGTACAATATATATAATAATATAATATATGTATATAATATTTATAATATATTATATATTAGATATTATTATTATATATTATTATATATAATACACATTATTATATATAATACATATAATAATATATTATTATTATTATTATTATATATAATTATTTGTAATATGTACACACACACACACACACACATACACACACACACGCACGCACGCACGCACGCACGCACGCACGCACGCACACAC